GGGCATTTCACTCATATGAGTCATTTCTGGATTGTGGGACTCAATGTTTAAATTTGAATTGGTGCCATTATTATGATTATTATTATTATTATTTATGTTAATAACAAGGTCTCTGTATATGTGTGTTTACCTTTTCTCCTGCATTTTTGTGTGTAGATGACTTCAGTGTACGGCACGACCACAGGGTCAATTTTACCTGCAGCAAAAAAAACCAAAGTGTTGCAGAGCATTTAAATGATAAAAGTTGGACACATGTTTATTTGTTTCATTTACAATATTTTAGCGGAGTGAAACTGTAACAGTCTTCTGAATGTTACTCTTCATATCTCACAAGATAGTAATTTCTTCTGCATGCATACCTTTGCTGCTGAGGCTGAGCAGAACAGCTGAAAACAGTAAGAGGAAGATGCAAGCCACAGGAAACCGAAAGTGTGTCAGGCCAGGATGACGCAGTTCAGGATGTCCTGCTTCAAAGCACAAAAACCACAGGTTAGCATGATGATGGAAACAACTATGTCCACTGTGTACGTGGCTCTTTATTATTCTTTATTTTCATCATCAGTGATTTAGGGCAGAACAGAACTGAGGATCCTTGGATTTGCCAACCAATTTATCGGGAACAGAAAAGAAAGTCCCCTGACATCATTGCACCATTTCACCTCCTTAAATCTGTCAGCTGCACATGCATGACACATCCAGTTTACAGGACTTCACTGTTGTCACTGGAGAAGGCTGTGAAGTCTAAGCTTAACCACAACGCTCCTTCAATGTGTGAGACGTCACACTTTCTGAAGATGTCGAGAAATTCTGCTGTTTTGACAAATTAACATTCATAACCATTACTGCACAATGCCAGAACAAATGTAATGACAGGTGATGAAACTGGATAACTTGCATGAGCGTAATCATCTTACTCCTACTTCCTCTCTGTATCTAAGATGGTGAACATTGGCAGCAGGGAGTGAACCACTTCACAATCAAACTTTTACTTTTATTACACCATCAAGTACCAGCAAAGTCTGTACTGGTACTTGTCAGGATACATATTTTGACTTAAAATAGCACGTATAAGTAAAATATTAGATGAATTTATATTTGTAAGCCAACAGTTACGTTGTTAAATGTGATTCACATAGTCATCAACAAAACTTTCAAAATACAACCATCCTGACATCAACACACTGCCAGGAGCAGTTTGATCAATTTAAAGCAGCTTAGATTCAGTAGGCATAAGCCAGTATACATTTGCTCCTAATAAAATTCACTCTACAGTTAAACAAAGTAATAATAATAATAATAATAATAATAATAATAATAATAATAATAATAGTCTTACCTCTGACAGTCATCCAGCTGTCAGGTGATTCTCCTGCTCC